CACAGGATGAATGTTCATGGTGCTAAGCTGCGCTTGTAGCAATGTATTTTGAAGTATATCATTATGTATGTGTATAAATACATAATACATATATCAGTAATAATCTAGGAGCAGATTTTGATGATTTAATTATGATTAATGCCTGTTCAGGGCTACTTGTGATACTGCGTTTGGCATAAGAGAAGCTGTGTTGCAGTTGTGATAGAAGCTAGGCTAGGACTAGAAGCTTTTCAAAATCCATTGCACTGCCTGTCTGGCAACAGGCCAATCCCTTGCACTTGCTGGCAACATGCTGATCTTTGAGGTCTGTATCTGAGCACCACGTTTCAATGCAAATTATGTCCATGTGATGATAACTTCATGAGGATGGCTTATTAAACCTCCCCAGGGTCATTTCTGATTTACACAGGAAACAAATCAGCCCTCAAATCCCTAAAACAGGAGCTTTTGTTCTAATAGTGTCTGACATTTTATCGTGTCATTTACATCCAGTGCCTGATTCGGCTTTGCGACATTGCCGACATAATATTAAACCCCTATGTTGTTCTTATGGGTTGCATGAGAAGGAGAAGACATGAGACATCAACTGTGGCATTTTTGAATCCCAGTATTAACATGGGAAATAAAAGCAGTTGTGAGATTACTGAAGTAAGGTGAAAAAGACAAATCACCTCAAGGCACCCTAGGACTCAAACACTGTTTGTGTTTATTTTAATGATTTTATTTATTCCTTTTTTGGTGTTCAGAAAGGTTCCCTTGACATCTAAAGAAAGAATAAAATATCCTTACAATGTTAAAATAGTAAGAACTAAATGCAGGAATATCTTCTTATAGGAAGTAGTATGCCCTAGGTAATCCATTATATTTCTGTAGCATCTTTAAAATAATGTTTCAGTGACTATTTAAGGTTCCCTGCAAGGTTGTTCAAGATGTTAATTTAACTCTTGATAATATCTGCTTTAGTATTAAAAAAAGTAAATGGGATAAAGCTTTTTTACTTTTTCTTTTTCTTTTTTTTTTTTTTTTAGTAGTATTTGATTTTCCTTGAAAATTAACCCTTTATTTCAGTCATAATGTTACTCCAAACTGGTCTTTGTTATTGCTCAAGCAGAACACAGAGTATATTCTGCTTGCATTAGAGTAGTTACAAGACTTATCAGAGAAATGGGCATGGTCTGTTCAAATACATAAAACGGATATGAATAAAAAGGGAAAATGTAAATAAAAGTTCAAATGTAAGCACTTCAACAAGATGCTGGACATTGCTTTTGAGATAAATATTCCTCACCTTTAAGTGATGTTAGGAACTCTTCAGCTGCCCAGCACCTGTGAAAAGTTATTAACTTCAGAGTCTAAAGTTGCACTGAATCCTATAGATTTGTCATAATTTATCATTTATATTTTATACACAGAATTGCATTTCTCTTCACATTCATTTAATTGCTTTAGTTATGAAATTTAAGCCAAAATCATATAGAAAATAAACAGCAGACACAGGAAGGTTTTAGCCTCTACCTTATTTCTGCTGAACATTGGTGCTTGCCTTGTGCATAAGAGTAAACTGACAATTTCTTTTCGAAGTCATCCTTGCTGTAATTCATTTTCGTCCTTCTCAGTCTCCCTTGGACAGCTAAGAAAAGACAACCTTATTATGCAGCTCTTTCTACTGGTTTGAATGTATTTTGTCATGTTTAGGGCACCTTCATTTTCTGTGTCTCAGAAGCAAAGATTATATGAAACAAGGGAGTATCTTCTCTTCTACTTTTGGATAGTAAAATATAGTTAATTTCTTTTTTTATGAATTCTAGTGAGGCTTTTCTTGGGTACATGTTAAAGAACCTGTTGATCCACTTCGCAACAGAGCTACATTTATAAGCTGAGGAGTACTAACTTTGTGTTAATAATGCGACTTTGTTGTCCTTGTGAAATGTGTTAGCTACTGGCTGTATTACAGCCTCTTCTCTATAAAAATCCACAAGAAAAGGTGTAGAAGCTGGAAGGAACTGGAAGATGTCTTCAGTCCTGTTTAATCATCCCAGCTACAGGGAAGCTATTAGAAATACCCCTGAGGCTAATCCTGACAAATTGTGCTCATTCTGAAAGGTAGAACTGATATGTGCAAGCGCCTCATTTCCGAGCTCCCACCCTTAGGAAAGCCTGAAACAGTAAGCCTTGCACTTGGACTTTGTGAACGTGGTTGTCTGGATGGCCAGTCTGAAGCCCTTAAGGCACACAGACCTTGCCATGGTGAGGATTATGTAGATAACTTACTGGCTGGAAGGTTGGCTCTTTCTCAGGGTGGGAATGCTGAACTAATGATCAGAAATGAATATAACTTACCTTCCACACATGCATAGCTCTTAACACTTGTCTGCCTCGTTCCTTTATGCCTGTTCCAGAGCCTCTCATGCTGCTGGTGGGACTCGAGGTGAAGGGCTGATTGCTCTTCATAAGCTGAACCAACCGAGCAGATTTCCAGCTCAGATGGCATAGCACAGAAGGCACCATGCTGTATAGGCCAGCTGTTCCCCAGCTCTGTCCTTTCTCTCTATAGGTTCCTGTTCCCCAAGGTGGCCGTTGCTGTGACCCAGGTAGTGCTGGAGTACATGCAGATGTATATTAGTTTGGTGCAGTGGTTTGTGAGGGATGGAGAGGTGGTTGCTTTTCTTGGAGGCCCTTGTAGGTGTGTTAAGGATGCTGTGTCTGCCCATCCATTTCTGTAGGCCTTGGCTTGTTCTGCTCCACCCAATGCCACATAGCACATAGGAACATCTGTCCTTGCCTTTGCAGACACTAGAGCAGGGATTAAAGATGAGATTGTGTATTCCAAGGTTACACAAACACAGCATTTTGTACACTGAACTTCCCAGATTTTTGGAGGAGAATTCTGAGTTGGAACCAGTGTAGTTATGTTGACTTGAGGGCTTTAAAAATACATTATATTTCATGTGTATGTGATGTCTTTGGAATCGCTACAGGATTTCCAGATTGCTCTGCAATGCTACACTGCCATTAAAGGATAAACTGTTCTTCCAATTGTATCAATTTCTCAGTAGTCATATTTTGCCTTTACTGTAAACATGCCTGTCTGATACAAGAATTATGAAGAATTTTTACTGGGCTCAGCTTTAAACTAATCCTTCATCTTACTTTGTTCCCCCTTCTTTTATCAGAGAAAAAGCCATTGAGAGAGATTAAGGCCCTTCATCTTTGGTTGTACAGTAACACTCAAAATTCAACCATGTAATAAATTGCTGGGATGCGATTCTGTGATTTCCTTGCTATAAAGCAGTGTGTAAAATGCTTTCTCACCAGAACATATTTTCCAGTGAGGAACCTCTCAAGAGCTTGTTCCCAGCCTCTCTCTTCTTTGCTCCCTTCTGTTTTGCTTAGCGATACCCTAGTACATCCTTTGCCACCTTGATGTAGCTGCTTCCCAGGATCAGTGTTTAGGGCCTGTTTTGAATCCCATCATTTTCAGGTTCTCTCATGTCCATCTACTTGCACATCCCTAATCATGACCTTGAAGTGTCTTTTGACAGATAAGTTGTTGTCCCACTGCCTCTACAGTGCAGGCATCACCACCCCAGTGTGGTTGGAGTGGCTTCCCTTGATCTTCCTGCATTGGTTGGACAGATACATCTTTCCTAATTTGTGAAAGCAAATTAACAAAATCTTATTCTCCTTTGTTTAAGTATAAATAATGTATCATGCTGTAAAACCATTAGCAGGCAAAACAAAACTTTTGGCCTTTTTATTTTGTTATCCTTTGTTGGTCTATCTGAGCCACTAAGAGCTTGTTGGAGCCTTGGTAGAGTGGTGCAAACTGCAGCTTGCTCTAGTAACCCCATCATCTACTACATAGGTTGTTCCTATGAAAAATGTGTGATTATTGTTTGTCATGGATTGTTTGCAAAAGGCCTTGAAAACAAAACTCAATTCAGCTTTTTTTCTTCTGTCCTGGTTTCAGTTTGCAACCTGCTACCTCTCTAGCCCTTCCTGCCTGTTTGTATCTGTGCGGTGTATACTGATGTTTGTCTAATGAATCTGCTCTGAATCCTGAATCTGCTCTGGAAGATTTATGGGTTTACATGCATGGAATAATTAAATAATTACGTCCTTGGGAGGGTGGGACGGAGCGTGCAGCAGGTCAGGAGGAGGCAGGAGGTGAGGGGGGGGGGGTGCTGAGCCTGTGCCCGCTCTGAGCCGTGTTGGATGCTGCTCCGTGCTGGGAGCAGCGGCACGTGGAGCTGTTGGGGCTCTGCTGTAGCCGGGGGCTTTCCCTGTCCTCACGCAGCCTTTTCCTGGGCTGTCCCAGAAATCTGCGAGCAAATTTGGAAGAGGGAGAGGCAAAAAATGCAAGAGGGGAGTGTGGCAGCTGGGAAAGCCCATGTGGAACGTGGGGACTGGGCTGCAAGCAGGAGCTGTGCTTCACATTAGGGGTGGATGGGAGAAAGAGAGAGAAAAGAGGGGAAAAAGAAGAAAAAGGAAAAGAGCCAAATATGCTGGGGGTGAGGGGCAGAGCGGGGCGAACTTTGAGTGGCGGGTGGGGGCGGGGCGGCAGCCCCCCACCTGCCCGC